GTGCCGGCGGCCGGGTCAGGCTCCGACGGCTCCTCCCCGACAGCTCGGCCTCGGGGGCGGCCATGCAGCTGAGGGGCCGCAGCAGCCGCGGCCTCATGGGGCTCTTCTGGAAGGGCAGGGCCTTGGGGGCGGCAGGCGCTGCCTCACCCCCGCTGTAGGTCTGGATCCTCCTCACTGACCCCTGGGCCGGCGGCTGCTGGGCCGCCGCGGACACCGCCGTGTCGAAGGAGGCGCTGCCCCCCTCCCGCCATCCCGCTCTCCTGCTGGCCCCGGAGGGTCCCTCGGGAGCCGGGGGGCTGGGGGGAGGCTGGGGGGGTGTGATGGAGTCCCCTGTTGTGCTCGGGGAGGCCCAGGACTGCGGGGCCGGGGGGATCTTGGCGAACTGGGGCTTGGGGGGCACGACGGGGACGGAGCGGGCCTGCTGCACCCGGACGGTGCGGGCGGCCAGGCGCGCCGGGGCGCTGCCATCATGGCGCAGGACGACCACGGGCTGGGGGAGCCCCGGAGATCCCGGGGGATCGGCTGGGGTTGGCAGAGGGGCTTCAGGGGGAGCGGGGTGCAGCTCCGGGGGCAAGGCAGGGAGCGAAGGAGAAGCGGGGCTGCTGCTGGGGGTGGCATCGGTCCCCTCTGCACTGACCATGGAGGGTGGGAGAGCCTCGGGGACAGGCCTGGGGACAACCTCGGGGACAGACCTAGGGACGGCCTCAGGGACAACACCCTCAAGGACAGACCCGGGGACCACCTCGGGGACAGACTCAGGAACTGGGGGCTCTGCTGGCTCCTGGGGGGACTCCTCCGGTGTGGAAGCTGGAGGGGTCCCCGGTGAAGGCTGGGGTTCGCCCTCCCCAGGCTCCTCAGGGTCAGGGGGCCCGGGGCCAGCTCCATCCTCTTCGACTTCCCTGTCTGACATGTCGGGAGCTGGCCCCGCTCCCCCATGGCCGCTGGCTCCTCCGGCCTCGTCCCCCAGCCCGGCTTCGGTGCTGGGGTCAGTTCTGCCAGGGCTGGAGCCACCATCCGCCACCCCCTCCCCTCCATCCCCCTTCCCTGGGGGTGTCCCCCCCTCTGTTGACACCCCGGTGGGGTCTCCAAGGAGCTCCCCTAGACCTGGAGCATCCTCCTCCAGCGATGGAGACCCATCCTGGGGCAATGGGGTGCTGGGTCGGGCCAGTGCCGGGGTCTCTGTGGCTGTGCCCTCGCCCGGTGGCTGGTGGGGGACCTGGAGGGTCCCCAGTGATGCCACCAGCGGGCTGAGGTCATCGTTGGCGCTGAGGAACATGTCATCGGAGTCGGTGTCCCCGTCACCCTCCTCGGGGTCGGAGCCGCTGGGAGCCATGAAGAACATCTCCTCGTCCATGGCCTCCTCGATGGAGAGGTAGCTGGCGGGGTGCTCGGTGGGGGGCTCCCCCGGCTGGGGACAGGGACAGGTGGGACGGTGACAGCCATGCCAGGGACACCCCAGACCCATGGAGCACTGCATGGCCCCGACACCTGGGGCTGGAGGGGTCAATGCCCCCTTGTCCCCTCCATCTCCATCCCTGTCCCTTCCGTTCCATCCCCATCCCCTCCATCTCCATCCCTGTCCTCTCCATCCCATCCCTGTCCCTTCCATCCCATCCCTGTCCCCTCCATCCCCTTTCCATCCCTTCCATCCCCATCGCTGTCCCTTCCTGTCCCTTCCATCCCATCCCTGACTCCTCCATCCCATCCCTGTCCCTTCCATCCCATTCCTGTCCCCTCCATCCCCTTCCCATCCCCATCCCTGTCCCTTCCCATCCCTTCCATCCCCATCTCTGTCCCTTCCTGTCCCCTCCATCTCCATCCCTGACCCCTCCATCCTGTTCCTGTCCCCTCCATCCCCATTTCTGTCCCCTCTATCCCCACCCTGGGGTGGAGGTGACTCTCTGCCCACCTCCTGCCCTCCCAGCCCCGGGGTCTCCCATGGCAGCTTACGTTCATGAACCCGCTCTCCATCCCCTCCTCCATGGCCGGGGACTCCTCTCTGCCCAGGGACAGTGGAGGTGACCCTCTGCCCACCTCCTGCCCTCCCAGCCCCGGGGTCGCCTATGGCAGCTTACGTTCATGAACCCGCTCTCCATCCCCTCCTCCATGGCCGGGGACTCCTCTCTGTCCCCCACCGTGGTGTCCGGTGACGGGGACAACACCACCATGTCTCCATCCCCGCCGCCCTCCGGCCACGTCTCGGTGCTGTCCAGGAAGGCGAAGGAGTCCCGCAGCTCCAGGGAGAGCCGGGTCTGCTCCGCGTCCGCCGTCCCCTCCTCGATCAGCGGGGACCGAGCCCTGGGGGTCCCCTGACACCCTGAGGGTCCCTCCAGCCGCTCCTCGGCCGAGCGGGGCTGGGGGTCCCCGTGGGAGGCTGGGGTGGGCTCTGGGGGGCTGTCGGGGGCGTCCCTGCCCAACGCCGGGCAGGGCAGCCCCCGGGTGAGGCGGGAGAGGTTGGAGGTGATGTGGAAGGGGACGGTGACGGAGAAGGGGCCGGAGATGTGGACCCCCGCACACCTCTCGGCGCGGCTGCGGGCAGCCTTGGGCGAGCGGCCGGTGGCCACCAGCGAGGCCCGGCTGCCTTTGGGGGTGGTGGGCTCTGATTTGGTGCTGCTTTCGCCCTCTGACTCGGGGCCCCGCGGCTCCTCCAGACCCTTCGGCTTCTCCTCCAGGCTCCCCTCGGGCCCCGGGCAGGGGCAGGCGTCGAAGCTCTCCCGGCGCGGCAGCGGGGGCTTCACCGGCCGCTGCTGGCTCAGCCCGGGGTGGTCTGCGCCTGGTGGGGGGACATCAGGGCATGGGGGTGGCCCCTGTCCCCTCCCCGCTCCTGGGGACCCAGCTGGTGGCACTGCAGGAGCTGCCAGGAT